GGGAGGAGCGAGACAGCAGTAGGAAGGAGCGAGACAGCAGTAGGAAGGAGCAAGACAGCAGTAGGGAGGAGCAAGACAGCAGTAGGGAGGAGCAAGACAGCAGTAGGGAGGAGCGAGACAGCAGTAGGAAGGAGCGGCAAGTAGTGCTCAGCAGAAAGAGTCAGGAGTGTAGAGAAGAAAATTTATATATAAAAATTTCGTATCTTGAACTCTGTGTTCTTCAACAGCTATTCCATGCTTAACCCTATCCCTGACAACTGGGTGTAATCCACCCGTTCGCGTATCGTTTATCATAAAAAGACCAAACTCCATCTATTCTTCAAGAATGCCATTTCGCTTTGTCCTGTGTATTCAAGCTAACCATTTGGTCACTTTGGTGTAGTAGGTAGCCATTTAGATTTTTTTTTATACAGTCCCTGACAACTGGGTGTATCACACTCGTATACTTTTTATAGTAAAAATATGTTTATAAAGAGACCCAAGGACATGCTTTTTCAACTTCAATGAAAATTTTAATTCAGAACAACCCATAAAAGCAGAAACAAGTAAGATTGAATACATGTAGGCCTATACTGTGCTAACAATATGGGCACTTTTCTGTACATGTAGTAGAAAAACAAACAGATCGCTTTATTCCCAACTTTTGCACAACATGAAAGAGCATTGTCTATATTACATGTGCTTATCTCACTAACAGTAACAGTTGAACATCTGTGTGGAAACTTTAGATCTAAGTGGAAGCAGAAGAACAATTCTGGCAGGATAGTACAGTATGTTCCTGGCAAATGTGACAGTGACAACTGGTGCATGTTGCATTTGTTTTTCTGTCTCTCTTTGAGGGGCACAGTGCACATCTCTTCTGTGTCTTTGCTAGAGCAGCACTTTCATCCATCCTTGTTTGCTTTGGTGGTTTTGAACCCTATGCTGTTGGCTGCGGTGTGGGTTGAAGAGACTTCAGCACGACAGAAATGTTCTCTTTCACACCTTTCTGCAAAGTAGGCACAGTTGCACGCCGAACAATATGGGCATGTGCCAGAGGTCGGCCAACATCCGCGTTGAAACGTTGCCTGCAGTCCTCATGTAAGAGATTGTCTGCAGGATACTTCACCCTAAAGACCATCCTGGAAGTAATTGATGACGAGTCCATCATATTGAAAAACACAACCAAAGGCCATCGCTTTGACAAGGCGTGGGCCATTTGGTCCATAGCGTCGACCCCTCCTTTTGTTTTGTTATAGTCCAGCACTATGTCAGGCTTTTTGGTCTCTGGGCAAATTTCTGGCTTCCTGTGCATTGTGCTAAGAAGCACGACATTCTTGGGCCGTTAACTCTGGAACGATATCAGATTGGTCTCGTACCTGAACAGGAACTTTGAGTCACCTAGAGGAAGAGCTTTCTTTGGCGGGAAATCCACAGGAAGGAAGGTTTTGTTTCTTTTTACGGTCCCTATCATTGTGAGTTTCTTCTTTGCTAAAGACTCCGCTAGCTTGGTGTCCGTGAAATAGTTGTCGCAGGTTATGTTACGACCACTGCCTTGGAAGTCCTTTGTCAATGTTTTCACTGTTTTTGCAGCAATGCCCACACATCTCTCAGCTGGTCTGGTAAAGGTTGCTTCCTTCATAAGGTATGGGTAACCTCTCAGCGGATAATTTGTCGATGGGTCACAAGCCCAAAAAAACTTAAGTCCATACTTGTCAGGCTTGGGCGGCATGTACTGGATAAAGCTACAGCGGCCTCTGAATGGAAGAAAATGTTCGTCCACTGTAACATTTTGTCCTGGCACATAGTGTTTTCCCAAATTCGTCTGGAAAGAGTTCCAAAGATTGTTTTTATGCCAGTTTGGCTAAAATGTAACGCCTAACATAAATAAAGTAGAAGACTATTAATAATATATTATTATTATAATATACTCTAATATATATATATATATATATACATTATTATATATATTATTAATATATATATATATATATATATATTATAAATTATTATCTATATATACACTCACATATATATTACATATAATATATATTATTATATATATATACACACACACATATATATGGGTTTCTCTAGGTTTAAGTGTATGGGTGTGATCCACCCATGTTGTCAGGAATCAGGTAAAATCATGTTTTACTATATGTGGACTATACGGGTGTGATCCACTCATGTTGTCAGGAATGTGATGGGAAATATGTTGTCAGGGATAGGGTTAAAGAAGGGGATAATTGTACAACTAATAGACCTATCTATGCCGTTACTTTAACTGTTTTACAAATTTACTTTATTCTATCTGTGCCTTTACCTCAAAGATTGGCATTTGTTTGTTGACATTGACACATTTTCCTTGTGTAGATTGCTGCTCCTGTGAAGTTCAGATTTTGACCATTGCCAGATTGAGTGTTACTCCGGAGCACCAGTCCCTTGAAAGCCGAAATAGAACAACTACAAAAGCGTGATGGCCAAATATGAATTTGAATTATACAGTTTGTTTTCATATTGTACAAGTGTCATCAAGGCTGCTATATTGCGAAACTTCCTCCTTTTATTGTGAACTTGTGACTGTTTCTTTCCTTCTTGTCAAGTCTTTAGTTGCCGCTGCTTCTTCCCAAATGAGACGAAGATAAATTTTATGAGTTCGGCGTTTGTTTGAATGACAGTCAGTTGGGGAGTTTGATGGATGTCTCCACTTCTAATTTAAGAGGGATCATTTTTTCCCCCTTCTTCTTCCTCGTTCTCGTTTTTTCCTCCAAAAGCAAGGCAAAGGAAAAGCTTTAAGACTTACCAATTTCTCCCTATGCCCCACAATTTACAGGCGCCGGAATTCTCATTGTTACAATTATAATATATATAATATATATAATAAATATGTTATATCCTATCCATCAAGCGAGTTTATGAAAAACAAATTAAATTATTGCTATCTGGCATTGTCAGTTGCATACAAAGAAACCATTTCTGGTAAAAATTTCATGTTAATTTAATACATGGATTAAAATTTCTGTAATTTTTCCGTATCTGAAGGTATAGCCTGTCAGAGGCCAGCCAGGTCACGCAGACATGAACCAAAGGCCAAACTCGGGGGAAGATGAGGAAGATCTTCTCAAATTTCAGCGAGAGTTTTTGGCGTCTGGTGCTGCCAGCGGTCGTTCCGTGTCCGTGAAGCGGCCAGAAAAACGCAAAACTGCCACAGGGGAAGGACAAGCCACAGATGTTGTCAAGACAGAAGGTTGGCGGGGTCCTATTGGTTGTTGTGTTGTCAAGGTTGGAAGGGTAGATGATGACGTGAAAGGTTGGCGGGGTAGATGACGTAAAAGGTTGGCGGGGTAGATGATGATGTACAAGGTTGGCGAGGTAGAAGATGATGTACAAGGTTGGCGGGGTAGATGATGATGTGAAAGGTTGGCGGGGTAGATGATGATGTACAAGGTTGGCGGGGTAGATGATGATGTAAAAGGTTGGCGGGGTAGATGATGACGTAAAAGGTTGGCGGGGTAGATGATGACGTAAAAGGTTAGCGGGGTAGATGATGTAAAAGGTTGGCGGGGTAGATGATGATGTAAAAGGTTGGCGGGGTAGATGATGATGTTCAAGGTTGGCGGGGTAGATGATGATGTACAAGGTTGGCGGGGTAGATGCGGGGTAGATGATGATGTAAAAGGTTGGCGGGGTAGATGCGGGGTAGATGATGATGTAAAAGGTTGGCGGGGTAGATGATGATGTTCAAGGTTGGCGGGGTAGATGATGATGTACAAGGTTGGCGGGGTAGATGATGACGTAAAAGGTTGGCGGGGTAGATGCAGGGTAGATGATGATGTAAAAAGTTGGCGGGGTAGATGATGAAGTACAAGGTTGGCGGGGTAGATGATGATGTAAAAGGTTGGCGGGGTAGATGCGGGGTAGATGATGATGTAAAAGGTTGGCGGGGTAGATAATGATGTAAAAGGTTGGCGGGGTAGATGATGATGTGAAAGGATAGCGGGTTGTTGCTCTATTCTGTCACATGTTGCTCTATTCTGTCACATGTTGCTCTATTCTGTCACTTGTTGCTCTATTCTGTCACATGTTTCTCTATTCTGTCACATGTTGCTGTCACATGTTGCTCTATTCTGTCACTTGTTGCTGTCACATGTTGCTCTATTCTGTCACATGTTGCTCTATTCTGTCACATGTTGCTCTATTCTGTGGCTTTTGTACATTGTGGT